TTTAAAAAGATGTGTCTACGACATCATTAATACTAATATCATTATTGACCTGCCATAATTGCAGTTTGAACATTATTATAAAACTATCATATTTGTAGTTTGAAAATTATTAACATTATTATCTTTCCTGGGAAAAAAATAAAGTCAGCATTTTTTACATCTAAGGTTTGAAAAATTATTTAGATACAAACCTAAAAAAAAATAACCTTGTCCATCCATTTACTGTAAATTGATATAAATTATAATTAAAATAATGAAAGTATCAATAGATGAACAGGTGAAAAATAAATGCAGTATAGTCTCGGTTTACGCAGTCAATTAAACCCGTGGAGATCCGCGTAAAACGAGAAACACGTAAACGAAATAACAGAACGTATGGGATTAATTTGAAATAGAGTCTGAGCCGACCCCCCAGACTACCCTTCTTCTGACACAATACTTACGTTGTAGTAAAAATAGCATCTTAATTTTATGATGGTATGCACACACAATTAATATTTAAGAGAAATATCAATAATATTAGGTTTTTTAACACTTACGTTAGTAGAAGAGATGGCTGGGCACACAGGGATGGGGGGTTGGTTCCGAGGCAGAGGGCAGATTATTGGCCCTCACCTGTATCACTTGTATCACCTGTATCACTATCCACCACAGAGGCTTGCAGGGCCTCTTTATCAAACCCCTCAAAGTCCATATCCTCACTATCACTAACTTGGGCTGGCTGTGGTGGGTGGCGGGTGAAGAACTCGGTAATGTTTTGTTGACTGGGTGGCCTAGTGCGCACCCTGCCCGCGCCACTTCCCGCTTAAATGATGGAATGTACAGCGTAACTAATAATTGCCGGTCGGGCCAGGTACCAAGTAAATGACCAAACGCGTAAAGGAAATCCGCGTAAATCGAGACTATACTGTACTGGAAATTATATTACGTCAATATATATTAAAATAAGTAAGACACTTATAATATAACTATAACCTACACGATGACTAATGTGTGATGGTATGCTGTAGAGTATCTTACTGTGGGTATATATCTAATGTATAGCTAAAACACCTAGGAATGTAGTCTTGAGTCATCGCAGAAAACGGGAGCTGTCAGGTGGAGTAGTCCCTCACGCAGTCACAGCTGATGTGAAGGTCACGGTCAGTGGGTCAATGTCCTCCGGGTTGATAGTAGATCAGATGATGTCTCCGTTGCATAGCAACTAATTGAAGCTTCAAAATGGTGTCGGTTGAGTCCACTATCCACCAAAATGCCATGGAGTCACTGGGTTCGCTGGGAACGTCCACCACGGGTGATTGTCAGGGGTTCTTCTGTGTGCCAAACCTCTTGGTAGCCCTATATATATATATGTGGACTTGCTGGGTACACACGGGAAGTCACGAACAACCAAAACACTCTGTTTAAACAACTTGTGATATCTAAATGGTGTAAGGTCCACGTGTTGCAAAACCTCGAAGCACTTAGGTATATGACAACACTGTAAGACCCAATGGCGCTGTTACTGGGAGAATCCACTCACAGGATGTTGATTGTTGATGCCACAAATTCTTCTCCGCCATGCCTGGTTTGCCATACAGGGGTGTTGCCAACTTGCCACAATAGCTAAAAGTTATCAATAACTATTGAGAAAAAGAAACTTGTACATCTCTTTGGATGACAAAATAAAAATCACTCAACATATAACTTTTCATTACGGGATATTATAATACACTTTGGAAGAATATAACAGTCGCGGTTTTCTCTTCTTTTTGTAAAAACACTTATGACTTGTTCTGTAGAATGTATAGAATGTATACTGTATGTATTAACCGGAATGTTGTTATCTGTTCCCACTTTGCTGCCACCTATGAACTGATTTCTTTGATCGTTGTTTGATGGTTGGACTTCTCTTTTTCTTTATTCTTGACACCACCACGCTGGAGTTGGTAATAGTAGCTAGGCTTTTTTAGTAGCGAAACCCAACTGCCCGCAGGCACACCTTATCACGTGCTCTGAACGGGCTACCTCATAGCTAGTGGAAAGTTACAGGGGGTGATAAAGTACTGTATATAATCAAATGTAATAAACCCATTTATATAAATGCTTCTGCCTATAAGACGGGCTATTACAAACTCGTGTACTGTACAAAGAAATGTATATTCCCTTTATGTGTTTGCCTTTAGGACAATTATTTCTTTTACTTTTCACACAATATGTATGTAGGAAGGTGTGTGCATGTAACAGAGTAAAAATAAATAAGAAAGTTATGCATATCTACACAAAAATACGAGTTGAAAAACAACCATAACACCTCACTGCTTGGCCCAGTAGCCTAGTGGTTACAGTGATGAGTCTAACCTGTTAATCACTATTAAACACTACTATATCAGTAAACACTAATAACAACAGTAAATCCAGTGAAATACGGCAGGGAGGGAGGAGAGATATAACTGCAGACGACACCTTAACTAGCGGTCACTCGCTCGCTCCCGTTGCCAGGCGTACGATCGAAATACGTATGAGAGAAATGCATATCTTGTTGTCTAATTTGAAAATGGTGATGGGCACAGTGATAAATAGATTATATAAACCATGCATGTACCTATGATAATATAATAATAAACATTGTATCATTACTAGAGTGAATGAAATAATATTCCCAATACAACAGTTGTTAACTCTCAGGCACCTGTGTCCCTCACGCTGATGTCTTGGTCCCTTGAAATTTTGCAGACATGTCATCGGAGAACAAATTTTGTCCTACATTTCTTTTTAATTTTTGTATGATTTTAATTTTTTAATTATTTTTAGGGAAATAATTTTGTCGGGCTTGAGCGATATCTGCCTTAATGAGGTTTTACTGTATTTATAGAAGGCTTACCGCCATCTCAATCCCAATCTTGCCTGAAATCAACCTTTCTCCCACCAGTAAGTGTCATTTTGTTAGCTGAAGGCCTTATGAGAATGGGTTATATAATTCTGTTGAGGCTTTGCTAGTGTCCTAACTACTGTATGCTGATAATGTTGTAGCATAAATATAAAAAGACTGAGATATGGTTTTCCTTACTCACTCTGTGATGTCTGTTGTTCTGACTGGCTGGCCATTGGTAATGTTACCCGCAAAACCCACGGGGACAAATCATTGCTTGACACTTCTGTCATTTCAGATTTATAAGTTTATATACTATAATGTAACTCACTTTGACAGACTAAGTGCTGTCATAAAATTAATACAGTTAACCATCGAAAGTCTGCATTTTGGATATTCTGAACCCTTTCCAGGCAAGAAACATTTGTCCGAACTCTTAAATATGTGTCGTTCGAAATTCCCGCCAGATGTGGACTGCTACAAACAATGGCTTGTAAACAAGGTCAGATGTGGACTGCTACAAACAATGGCTTGTAAGCAAGGTCAGATGTGGACTGCTACAAACAGCAGTCTCGAATGAACACATCTAACAACACAACAGTGATGTCTAGATTATTAGGTATTAAGTGAAAGGTAAAAGCACTGTACATAACTTTTTTCAGGTGTTTTGCAGGTTTTATTATTAGAATTTAAGATAAATGGGGTTGTCTTGTAAGGTCATGAGAGTTAAGTTTAATTATTTGTTTTAGTGCCTTTTTTCCCAACTGAGGAGAGATGCCCCGCCCCCTCCTCAAGAGTTACAGCTGATTGGCTATTGCATTTCTGCCTGATTTCGTCCTAAAATAATGATGTATTTCTAAATGAGGTTATTCATAATCGTTGGGTTTACTGTTTCTGACAAGAAAGATGTTTAGCTACATACATTCATTAATTATTTTTTAAATTTATCAGAAATATTATACCGTACATGAATTAACTGTTAAACTCTGGTAGCAATTTCACTCTTTTGGAGGAGGCATTTAATATATTCTGTACTTATTTTTACCCACAATAAGGCATACTAAGACAAATTACATATCAGTAATACTACATTATACAAAAACTAACATTTTAAAAGATCAGAATTACATTGAAATATTACACGGCCGTCAGCAGAGGCGGAAAATATGACTTCGAACAAATTCATATTTCCCGCCTCTGCTGACGTTTAGAGCGGCCAACATCCCCAGTCTGTCGCACTCATCCACCAACTTTCAGGGGCCGTGTAATATTTCAATGTAGTTCTGATCTTTTAAAATGTTAGTTTTTGTATACTGTAATGTAGTATTACTGATATGTAATTTGTCTTAGTATGCCTTATTGTGGGTAAAAATAAGTACAGTATATATTAAATGCCTCCTCTGAAAGAGTGAAATTGCTACCAGAGTTTAACAGTTAATTCATGTATAATATTTCTGATAAATTTCCTACGTGCTCATGTTTAAAATAATTAATGAATGTATGTATCTTTATATAATTTAGCTAAATATCTTTCTTGTCAGAAACAGTCAACCCAACGATTATGAATAAACTCATTTAGAAATACATCATTATTTTAGGACGAAATCAGGCAGAATTGCAATAGCCAATCAGCTGTAACTCTTGAGGAAGGGGTGGAGCATCTCTTCTCAGCTGGGAAACAATGCACTATAGTAGTAATATCTCTCTTAGTTGGAATCCCTCAAACCCGGAACTCCAATAGCCGGAATTGAAATTTTCTCAGAAAATCGTTCCTAGTCGGAATTTTCCGCAAAATTCTGACTTTCGGGAATGATTTACCGAGAGGCACATTTTCTGGGAAATTCTGTTAAATTTCTCAGTACCCTGAAAATTCTGAAAAATTCCGGAGATGAGGGATTTTTTCCGGCTTTGAGAGATGAAATAATGCATCATTCTGGAGCTTCTGGGAAAATTTTTCCGTTACCTGGAAAATTCCGGGGATGGGGGATTTTTTCCGGCTTTGAGAGTCGACTCATTACCCGGAAATCTCCCATTCCCAGAAATGCTCTGCACCAATTGTTCCAGCTAATGGAGATATCACTGTAGCTTAAAGGTGCATAACATGATTTAACGCTAGATTATCAGTGACTTTATTTCACTATTATTACAGGAGTTGGTGATAGCTCTTCAAAGAACAGGAGATCCAGGCCAGTTGTCATCTTTAAGACCACAGTTAGAATTATTGGCTGCATTAGATCCTTCCCCTGATGCTCCCCCTCCTGGCTGGAAACCTTGTGCAGCTGCCATGGAAGCAGTAAGAGCAGTTGTTACAGGATTAGTACATTTTATACAGCATCATGGCAATCGAAAAATGCCCGATGCCCATCACCCACATAATGCAAAGTACAAGACCAGCATGTGCCGAGATTTAACCCAGAGAGGGGGGTGTCCTCGGGGTAATAACTGCACGTTTGCCCACTCCGAAGAGGAGCTCGAGAAGTATAGAAATAGAAGTCGTAAGCACGGGAAAGGCATTCCACAACCACCTGCAGCTCCAACCATCAAGCAGCACCATCAGTCCCAACAGCATCAGTCCCAACCACAGCAACAGCCACAGGGAGGTGTAGAAACAGTCATTACTGCAAAAAATGGGGAACATGCACCTGTTGCAGTCATCCAGAAGACAGGGACAGTTGAAGAGATATTACAACCAGGGGAAGTACCTTCAACTCCTACTCCATTTGTGCACATCCCAGCTCATACACAGTCCATGCCAGTATTACCTGCCCCAACTCCTGCCCCAACAATTATACAATCAGCTTTAGCACCAACTCCCTTTCACCCAGCACAAATGGCTGACTACACTTACAGTTCCTTCCCTTGCCAACCTCCAGTGTTTGCACCTTCCCAACAACCTATACCTTCCACACCAACTGCTGTTTTTTCTGGTCAGGCGACAGCAATAGTCCCTGATTTATATGGTGGAAATGCTCCGACAATGCTTCTAAATACAGCACCTGTGTATAATGTTACTGGTCATACTAGTGAGTTTTGTATTCCAATTGCCAATACCAAGCCTACCAGCTCCGCTATTCACCCGCTTGTCTCGTGTTGGCCAGATACTAGTTGCACAACATTTTGTGTGGCTACAACAGCAACAACTAATTCTTTGACAACAGTAACAAGTGTTGCAACCAAATCAATGGAAGAGTTAAAAGAGAGAAAAGAGGCTATCTTAAATCAACTTGAGACAATTGTTGGGAAAGAAGCAACTCACCAAGTTGCAACCCAAATTGAAAATGGTGAAGAGCCAAGTAAACCACAAGAATTTACATCCACGTACAGTATATGGACTTCTGGTGCTGATTTTTATATTGCTTCAAAATCAATAGACAAAAGTTACGACCCAAGCACCGGTTACCGCACCTTCGCTGCCAGGAAAGAAGATGCAAAAGGAAAGGATGACTTCATTCCCTTTGACCCACCGCTGGTGAGTCGGTTTGGACCAATCTCCAGAATGTCACGCACAGTCATCCAGCCGGCAAATCCTATCCAGTCTTCGGCAAGCAACCCGACTGAAACCACCACCACTCCAACTGTGAGACGACCAGTACCTGCAATTTCACCCATGCCACAGGTGAATATAATTGTGTACTGTTTTTAAACTTCTACAGTATAATTTAAGACAGTTTCCTTAGATTTACATTTATCTGCTGTCGTCTAAATTTACATATTTTTCAGAAATGTAATTGCATTTCTTTTCTCTGTGTACACTAAAACCTCTCAAATCCAAATTTTTCCTCAAACTTAACTGCATGAAGAAGGATTCTGAACACCCCCTTGGATCCAGATGTAAGTATGGCTTGTAGCAAAGGAATTTGGGATGCACCTATGGAGCAGGTGAGTGAGGTCACATTATAGCTATAGAACTTTTCATTGTGTGATTCATTTAAGGACTTGCCCCCTCAATACATCTGCTTCCTTAGTAATGTGCATTTGTGCAGGAGATTGCCTTCCCTTCTTTTCTTTTTTCTTTTTTATTCACACTACTGGTGGTGAAGTTAATGATCTTAGAGAAATTATAAAAGAATGTAAACATTAATGAGTCCACCATATATATTAACAACACTACAGGTAACCTCCGAGATATGATGAGGTTAGGTTCCTGAAAAACATCTCACCCCGCATGCTTTATTGGGCTAATGAAATATATATGGATCCTCGTGTTTCGAAGCCGGATTTGGTAAAACGTTGCCCTGATCACCTAAGCGGCACGGGTGGTCCCCATTAGAGGTTCACTGTGCCATAAGCTCGTTGAACAGGCTTTTTGTGAAATATAACAGAGTCTCGGACTGTTTTAGTGTCCTGGTGGCCCAGAGGTAGCGTTCCCCGGTCACAATTATAAGATCGTGTGTTTGAATCCTGGCGGGGTGAGGTGTTGATTATATGTAGAAGTCCGCGTGCTTTATTGGGCTAATGGAATATATATGGATCCTCGTGTTTCGAAGCCGGATGTGGTAAAACGTTGCTCTCATCACCTAAGCGGCACGGGTGGTCCCCATTAGAGGTTCACGGCGCCATAAGCTCGTTGAACAGGCTTTGTGTGAAATATAACAGAGTCTAGGACTGCTTTTAGTGTCCTGGTGTCCCAGAGGTAGCGTTCCCCGGTCACAATTATAAGATCGTGGGTTCGAATCCTGGCGGGGTGTGTGTGTGTGTATATATATATATATATATATATATATATATATATATATATATATATATATATATATATATATATATATATATATATATATATATATATATATATATATATATATATATATATATAAGAAAAAAAAACTGATGATAAGCACAATGTAGGATGCTGATTGATAATAGTGGTGCCATGTGGTGGCCGTTTTATGATCGACAAAAAACCAGACACAGGGCTGTAATACGCAGGTTGGCTGTGTGGTGGCATGTGGGTAGGCTGACAGGTGAAGGTAGAGGTGTGTGGTGCATAGGGTTAAAAATAGTTTCCTTATAAAAGTCACTGACTTGACATAGACAAATATAATTTGCATTGCTGGACTCCTTGCAAGATGGCTATTAATTTGAGTATAAACAACCCATAGTTTGCACTAAAGAATTTGTTTTTCGATGGATATCATTAAAGCAAGATGTTTTCATTATACAGCATGCCCTTAAAATTCGCAGGGGTTTGGGTCTCAAAATGGTCGCGAATTGCCAAACCGCTAATATCATTTAATCTGTACTGTATATGTGTGTGTGTAGCCACACATACAGTCTGCGCGGAATATTAAATCGCGATAGGGCCGACGAACTAGGTTCTCCCAAAATAAGATCATATGTTGTGAAGGCTGTCCTGGGATGCGAGATGTCAAAACGCTTGGTTTGCTGGCAAGTGGTGACATTTGGCAACTGAGAACACGTCACGGCTTGTAGTCAGTGCGCCTCTGGCAACTGTGAGGGGAAGATTTATTGTGCGGGTTCCCGCTCCATGTGGCCGTGTTTTGTCTAGTTTAAGGTGCATTAACCCGACATAGAGATGTCCAGGAGGGTTACTACAAGAGACGATATTGCAGCAGTGATTGCATTGTACAAAGCGAACCATGTACTGAAAGAAATTTCGGCTCAGACTGGTGTGGCATTACGAGTTGTTCAAAATCTTGTCAAATGTTTCCGTGACCTTGGAGAGGAAGAGTTACCAGCTCCATTACCTAAGTCTGGTAGGCCTAAATAATTGTCTCCACGGACACTTAAGGTTATTTCTCGACAAGTTCGGTCCAATCCCTCACTCACAGCACGTGAAGTGAAAGAGAGAAACCCCCCGTCTTTTGAGTCACGTCTCGTTACGTTGTGTTCAACAAGCCCTGCACGATGACCTGGGATTTAAGAGCTTTCGTACCTGCAGAAGGAAAATAGAGTGAAATTTTGCAAGAAATATGAAGTGTGGGCTTTAGAGTCATGGAAAAGTGTATTATGGTCCGACAAGGCTACGTTTTCTGTGACTGGGAGTGGTGGTGGGAGGGTGTACTGCCCGCCCCACTCAGATCCACACCTCCCACAGTACACTGTAAAGACTGTTAAGCACCCTGCCTCGCTTATGGTTTGGGCTTCCTTTACGTATTATGGTGTTGGTGAACTAGTAATCCTCCCTAAGAACCAGATGATGAATCAGTACAACTATCTTGAACTGCTCAGTGATTTCTTACCTGAATCATTTGATAAAGCTAAGGCAAGCCTTTTCATGCAGGACGGTGCCCCATGCCACACTGCTAAAAGTGTCATACAGTGGCTCAAAGACTGTTAGGTACCTTTCTTTAATGACTGGCCTGGCAGTAGCCCAGATCTTAACCCAATAGAAAATTTGTGGTCCATTGTTAAGCGTCATCTGCTCGACGCTGACACATCATCAATCCCGAAGCTAGAGGCAGCCATCAAGGATACCTGGGCTAACTTGCCACCTGACCTCTTTCAAAACCTTGCTGACAGTGTTCCTCGAAGGCTAAAATACTGTCTGAAGTGCAGAGGAAACACTACAAAGTATTATTGAAGTGGTAAGTGTTACTTGACTTTATTTATATAACATAATCGTAAATATCAATATTTTTTCTCCACACGATCTCACATTCTGCGCAGACTGTACACACACACACACACACACATACAAATAAATAATAATGGGAAAATCCTCACATATAATCAGAAACAAGACAACAAAATATATCAAAATGTAGAAAAAATGCGCCAGCTGGGTTGATATGTAGTTCAAACTCCATCTAGCCAACCCAACATGAAGGATGTTGGTAATTGTGGTTTAATGCTGTACTTTCTTCACAATATGTATGGAGGATGGTGTGTGCATGTAGCTGAGTAAAAATAACTGAAGAAAGTTAAATATATCAACCCGAAAGTACGAGTTGAAAAACAACCATAACACCTTACAGCCATAATTTTCTTAAAGTAATATGTGCATTACCAGGAAATGTAAGGAATAAATAAAAATAATACTAATACTGTAAGTAAGTTACAAAAAAAAAATACTATTGCCAAACCAGTAAATAAAAGCTAAATGAAAGTTTTAATACGGTCGTCATTAGCATACGTACACTCCCTGCTCCACCATAGTAACGAAGATCATCTGGGACACCGATTCCCAAGCAACGCTCCCCACCAGCTACACTCTGTGCTCTCCTCCTGTTACGTGTTTGCCCTTAGGACAAATATTTCTTTTACCTTTTGTCACAATATGTATTTAGGATGGTGTGTGCATGTAACTGAGTAAAAATAAATGAAGAAAGTTACGTACTGTATATCTACCCGAAAATAAGAGTTGAAAACCATAACACCACAGCTTGGCCCAGTAGCCTGGTGGTTACAGTGATGAGCTAACCTAGCTACAATGACATGATTAATCACTATTAAACACTATTCTATCAGTAAACAACTAATAATAACAGTAAATCCAGTGAAATGTGGCAGGGAGTGAAGAGAGTTACAACTGCAAACAATACACTAACTACCAGTCACTCACTCCCCTTACCCGCTCCCGTTGCCAGGCGTACGTATGGGAGAAATACATGACTTTCTTTTCTCTCTTCACTTGTTTGAGCTCCTTCCCACAGCAGGATGAAGGTGGCTGGGGGCATTTGGGATCCATCACAAGCACAAGGAGCACAGTTGTTAAGAGAGCAGAGTAGCACACGAGCGAGACGAACAGGTGCTTATCCCGGACTGAGGGGGAGCGCGTGTGGACCAGCCTCCCGGGACAAAAGAAACACCTTGCAGGATGCCACAAAGCTCGCGGGCTCCCTGTCTCGGCCGGAAAAATGCCGACAACTTTAAAACTACTCGCAGACATTCTTGGGTACATCCAGGGTGTCATCTGCGAATGATCGAGGACCGCAAATTAAAAATCTGTGAATTGTCAGGGCGTACTGTATAGGGAGATGGTGTTGATTTATAACTATCTTTAATGTGAAATATCACATCTCTGGGGTTACCTGCACCAAACAATTAATGTATCATTCAGCCAGCATCATACCAGCTCTCACAAATCATCATGCCAGCTCTCACAACTCTTCATCATATCAGCTCTCACAACTCTTCATCATATCAGCTCTTCACAACTCTTCATCATCATCATATCAGCTCTCACAACGCTTCATCATACCAGCTCACATCTCATCATAATCATCGTCATCATACCAGCTCTCAACTCTTCATCATCATCATATCAGCTCTCACAATGCTTCATCATACCAGCTCTCACAACTCATTATAATCATCGTCATCATACCAGCTCTCACAAATCATCATCATACCAGCGCTCACAACTCATCATCATCATCATACCAATTCTCACAACTCATCATCATCATCATACCAGCTCTCACAACTCATCATCATCATCATACCAGCTCTCACAACTCTTCATCATCATCATACCAGCTCTCACAACTCTTCATCATACCAGCTCACAACTCTTCATCATCATCATCATACCAGCTCTCACAACTCATCATCATCATACCAGCTCTCACAACTCATCATCATCATACCAGCTCTCAACTCATCATCATCATCATACCAACTCTCAACTCATCATCATCATACCAGGTCTCACAAATTATTCATTTCATTCAAATTCTTTCCTATACCTTTCAGTATTTGTTGCAGTGTACAGTTTTGGTTTTAGCTAGACCCATAATACAATAGTTTGGCTACAAATTACGTGCATACTTCTTTTTATTTTATTTTTGTAGGTTCTTTATCAGCCTGGAGGCTATACTGTGGGGGTCATGACCTGCATACCCACACCCCTAGAGCACATGAACACTCTGGGCCACGGCATAGTTGATCCCCTGCTCTCGCATCTTGAGTCATCCGGGATAAGGACAATACCTGCAGACCCAGCACAGCAAGAATGTCTGAGGCAGCAGTTCACTGCAGTTTTAGATGAAAAGAGGATGGTAAGTACTGTAGCTTTTTCATAAAAGGCACTCCAGGGTATTGAACCTTTTATTTATTGGGAATTTTCTTTTGTATATCTTATGCTCGTCATGTTTACTGTACTGTACTTACTTCAGCACCAGCTAGCAGAGAAATTATGAAGATATTTTCCTACACGTGATGTCCAACCAGAAGACATCACTGACTGACATGATCAAGCAGTTGTTACATTTTACCTGTGTTTCTTAGACAAAACTATGTGCTGTATTTGCCAGATGATAGGACACCTTTTTTCCCAAAAGTCAGCCTTCATCATATGTGTCGATAAAACCAAATATTGTTGGAAAAGGTATGGTCATTTTCAATATTTAGTTATGGCTATGGTCACATGCACTCTCCTGATGAACCCAAAAATATACTACACTACTTCCAACTTTGTGTTCTTATGACAAATACTGTGCAAAACTAATATAGAATACTGAAAACAAGAAAAAATATGAAGAAAAAACGTAAGAAATACTATCACAGATATAAAGTAACAGCCTACATGGTAAGCCTAAAGGCTGAAGCAAACTCACAACTCCCTGTACTGTACCTCTATTACCACTATTCCTATCTTTCTTATGTTATTTAACAATTGTGCTACTTCAAGCAACATTTATATATTATCTAGATGAAAAAAATGCAGCTAAAATCATTAAAGAAAAACTAAATGAATGGTTAACACAGATCCTATTTCCATACACCCTGGATGCTTGGCTTTCACTTTTGCCATAGCAACACAGCCCAGCTGGGAACCTGTCTCTTCAAACCCCTAAGCAACGGGAAACCCACACTCCACTCCCCTCCTGCTTACCCGCTCAGCATGTTTCCTCTTACACACAAAGAAATGTTTATTTCCTTTATGTTTTTTACCGTCTGATAATTTTTGCGTTTTACATTCTGTATGTAGGTTTGTGTGTGCAGGTAACTGAGAAAAAAATTAAGAAAGTTACATACAGGTATATCTACCTGAAATTAGGAGTTGAAGAATACAGTAACAATACCATAGCTCACAGCTCAGCCTAGTAGTGAGAGGGCTAGGGGGGATGTGGCTAGTGACAAGTCTGACTTGGCAACAATGCTACCAGCCATGTTAACAGATGAATATGAAAAGAAAATTAGCTGTAAATCTTCATTTGTATTAGGTATTTGTAGATTTAAAGTACCATGTATTGTGGCCTGTAATTCGACCTGGAGTATAAAATGACTTTAATTATTTCAAGTGAAATTGTTGGTCTAGGCCTATACCTGATAGTTAAGTCGACCCCCTAAACTGCAATTTGAAAGCTCTGTCCTCGGTGTTAGCTAAACTTGCCAACATTTACTCTTTAACAGCACCCACAAACAAGTTTGACCTAATTGTAGCATTAAAGTACCCTTCAGTGTTAACTACAGTTTTCTTTCACCCAAATGTTTCTGAGGCACATGAATGTGGTGTAAACAAATCACAACAATACAGTTCTTACAAGTGTAAAAATATAAGATACACTGTACACAAGGTTAGCAATGACAATTTACCAGTCCTGATAGTTTATTATTAAATATATTGACAAGTAAAAAAGTTTTCAAGCTTAATAACTGTGGTACATAATAAGCAAAACATATTGTGCACTACAGGGTATAGTGACAGTACAGTACAGTAAATGGTAGTACTCTGTACTAGCAGTATATGGCAACAAGCACACAGAATCTAGGTACAGTATATGATTAAAAAAAGTTATCTTATTTTACTTAAAACAAAGCAAAATAAAACGTTCAATTAACAGTACTTTATATTATTAATGGTAGTACACTGTGTAGGCAGTATGCGGCAACAAACGAACCAAGTCTACATTTGCTGGTACTGGTGAATGATTAAAATATTTTATTTATGATTAAAACAATATAAACTTAAAGTTTCTTAAAAGTTAATATTTAATACCAATGTAAACCATCCAAGTTTCAAAATCCTTCAAATTCTGGTTCATCATTATCAAACAAAAAATTATCATATATCATATGGGTCTGCCGACTCTGCCTCCGAATCACTGGCGGCGATGGGAACACTGGCCAAGCTGCTGCAGGCCAGCCAGCAGTTCCCAGACACCTGCCTTGTTTACAACTTTACACCATATACATATAAACATATACAAAATCCCGAATATACCATAACTGCATTTTTAAACAATTTAACAACAAATATTACAAGTACCTAGTAACTGCCCTAGTAAGAAACTATAGTTAACACCGAAAGATATTTTAATGTTTTGAAAGGTGTCGGTATGACTAGTGTAAACACTGACCTTAGACTGAGTTCAGAAACAGTTACCCTTCTGGAAAATGCTACAGTTAGGTAAAACTTGTGTGTGAGTGCTGGAAATTAAGTGACTGAGACCAACCAGTTAGGTGAAGTGAGAATCTGATGCTAGTGGTGGAGTGTACTTAGAGGTTGACATTTTATACCTGTTGTATAAGATGGCCTCTAGTTTAGAACACAAAAACTGAAGCTTCAAAGGTTGACGTATAAGCCGCAATATATTGTACAGTAACATACTGTATATAGAAAATGTGGTTCTGCTCTTTATGTAACAACATAAAGAAAGAACCTTGGGGTAAGGGAGACAAGCTCAGGATAAAGTAACTTACTAATAAGGATAGGCTACACAGGGCATGTAGCTATCATTCATCGTTAATGACCTACAGAATTACATGAAGTTTTACTCTTCAAGAATATTACGCATACATAGTTCGACCCCTTGCTTTTTGTATACAAATTTGATCATAAAACTTTTAACTATACTGTGCTGAGTATATACTTCTTTTTAAATATAGTAAATTTAAATCCAGGTTGGTAGCATACTTTTACAGTGGTCCCTCGGTTAACGAACACAATTCGTTCCAGAAGGTCGTTCATTGACCGAAATTTTTTTTTACCGAAACCATTGTTTCAATGGGATTTTGGGTAATTGGTTCCAGTTCACCGAAAATTACATACAAAGTAAAAAAAAAAATGCAGTAAAGTACACTTACTTTGAGGTGTGTATGTAGAAGGCTCCTGGTTGATGATGATGATGATGTGAATTAGAAGTGGGGGTGGAGGAGAAGGGAGAAGAGAAGGAAGTGGGGGTGGAAGAGAAATCACCCCATGCTTCATGCCGTCATTTCACCCATAAAATTTTAAGTTCACTAGGTGTAATTCAAGATTATTTTCTTTAAATCAACACTGCACTGCACTATATATTGTCAATATGTTAAATAAATTTCAGAATGACCAATAATTGTATTGTAAAAATGTAAAAATAGTTTATGTTCAAGGAGAGCCACAAGCAAGATGTTACCTCCACTGACCAGAGATACAAACTGAGGCCTTGGTGGGTGAGTCAAGTGGCTGATTGGCGCACCAAAAACTAGTTTCCTGTACTCCAAATATGTTAAATAAGAGTTAAAATGACTGAAAATTTTAATATAAAACTTGGAAAATTATTGAATAGTACAACCTTCTTGATATTTACGCAAATGGGAACGAATTTAAGCCCTAGAACCGATTACTGTATTGGCTGACTAATATTCCAGCTGGTGAGCAAGCGAAAACATGTTGACATGATTTTGTAAGAATTTCGTTAACCGAATTTTTGTTCGTTAACTGAATTGAAGATTCTTATGAAAGGTAATTCGTTTACCGAAATTTCGTTAACCGAGGCGTTTGTTAACCGAGGGATCACTGTACTTACCATTACCTACTGTACATACACAAAATCTGATATATTTCCCTTAATTTTTTTAAATCACTTTCAATACATGTATATGATGAATTGTACTAATTTTTTTTTTCTCAAAAATTTCCTTGTACATTAGGGAGGCATCTTATACGGCCGTGCGTCTTATAGGCCGACAAATATGGTAAATCTTAATGCAGTACTTAGCATGGTTATAACATTTATTTTCCAAGTATTTTTAGTCTAGGAAACCTTATGAGAGACTTATTAGATAGATATACCACAGCCAACCTCCTCACAGGCACAACATGCCGGTGTCCACAGCTTAGCACCAGACATTACCCTTATGACAAGTTACCGCAGCTATTGTTGTACTTTACTTTACCTTCTGGAACATGGGATGAAGTGATATATATTCTTGGTATGTCTGCTCTCCTTTCCAGATACTTCCTTATGTTAGAGGTACAGAGCGAGTCATTTACTGGGTTTGTTTGGATGTTTCATTTCTGTGTTTTCCTTCCATTTTGTTTGGATAGTTGTTGAAGAATGAATTGGCTTCAATGCATACAGTATATACCACTTCAGTTTCAATTGCATAATAAAGGAGTTGAATCCATATTGAATCCCATGAACCGAGAGCATCATCCATTCCTCAAGATCCTCTTAACTAAAGAAGAGTATGCATGGATATCCATAAGGATAAGGCTTTGAATTAAATTGACACAATCAAAGGGTAGAGGAGAAATACTACACTATTTCTCATTATATTTCAGTCAGCCCTTATGCTACATGTCAGTTATCTCCCACAAATACATATTACTGTATATAGAAAATGGCAACTGTTCTGTTAATGTCCCAAACAAACCTTTCTTACTGTGTGCCACAAATACATCCCTAAACATCCATCATTAAAGTACTGTACTACAGAACATTTGACCATCGATTTTAGCACAAATATTAGTCTTAGTATTATATTTCAGTAGTTTAAATCACAGGACATTGCTCTGTAATGGTTATTAGGCCTCCATAGTCAGATATACAGTATCTGTATCCATACGAACTTGCTCATTCCAATTTCAATCGGACCCTAGAGCCACTTTTTTTTCTTTCTTTTTTATGAGTGTACAGTACAGTAGCTGTTGCTGTAAAAAATGAATACCTTGCAGCCTTCCCACCAAATGTAATTTATATGAAAGCTAGAGTTGTGAGGGACCAGTGGGAATCTGCTGTGTCCATATTGGAATATTACATAATAGGTCCCTTGGTTACATAATTCCGACATACGAACATCTGCCAATACGAATGAGGTCCCATAAAGTTAAAATTTAAATTTCCTTTTTTTTTTTTTTATGGGGATCAACCCACTCAGGCACATTAGACAACACATTATGCCCCCAACTTCTTCCCAGGCAGTAGTACCTCCCTGTTTGATAGCTGATTACTACCTACTACCTTTGCACTATGACTTATTTTTTACTTTTATTTATTTTATTTTATCATTCTATTTCTTCTTTTCTCTTAAATTAAGTTATTCTAGATGTATATAAGGACATAGGCTATGATATAGTGGGATTTTAAACATTATTCTGTAAATACGGTATGCACATAAGGTATGTGGTTCGACAAGTACATTTTCGACTTAAGAACATCTGTAAGAATGGAACTAGTACATAACCCGGGACTGCCTGTACAGTACTGCACTATGCTATCTCTTATTGCCTACTGTATTTGAACCTCTGACAAGATGTTTGACCTGTCATTTAGACAATAACCAGGTCAAATTTTTAACTGTGATATTAATGGGTGAGAAGTCTACTCAGAGCAAGACATTATCTGTCTCAGTACCTAAATTGACAAAGACTGCTACCTCTGCCTTTAGTAGTACACTGGAACTTTTAGCTCACTAATTAATCTTAAAGCATGTAAAAGATTTTACTTAAATTTCAATAAGCCATAATTACTACCTTTACCATATATGTATGACAAGTGCCCATGAAATGCTGCAATGCCATTGACAACTTATCTTTCATGTGCTAGGCTGAGTGGCAAGAGGTGCGTCTTAAAGAGGAGCTGAGTCTTGTGATGAACAGGATCGAAGTTAAGCGGAAAGAAATGGAAGCAAGAAATTCTACTCGGGTAAGTGATTCATTTGTGATTTAATCCACTTGCATACAAGTTACAAGATCAAGTCTGCAACTAAATTTGTCATTATTTTTATGGATAGGTTCTGTTAGTGAGTGGCTGAACAGCTGCCAATTTCAAAACCTTTCATATTATAGTCCATTCACGGGGTTTGGGTCTCAAAATGGCCACAAATTGCCAAATCAGCAAATATCATTTGCTGAAATGGGAGGGGGGGTACATTTTTACTCATGTGCAAAGAAATGTATATTCCCCTGTATGTTTGCTCTTTTGACAATTATTTCTTTTGCCTGTACTATATACAGTGTGTGTGCGTGCAAAACACATAAAAATAAATAATAATGGGAAAATCCCCTCACAAATAATCAGAAACAAGACAACAAAAGTATCAAAATGTAGAAAAAATGTGAGTCTACCCTCAAGTTAACTCCGAGCTTTGTTATTAAAGTTGGGTTGGTTGTGTTTCCCTACGGAAATTTTTTCCTCGTAAAAATTACTGTCTCTAGGCCAAGTGGCATCTGGGCATTAGCTGGGTTGATATGTAGATCAAACTTACAGAATTTCTTTGATAGCCATCTAACCAACCCAACATGAAGGATGTTGGTAATTGTGGTGTAATTCTGTACTTTTTTCACAATATGTATGGAGGATGGTGTGTGCATGTAGCCGAGTAAAAATAACTGAAGAAAGTTATACAGTACAGTCAACCCTCACTTTACACGGTTAATACAACCCACAGGGTACCGCGGAAAGTGAGAAACGCGTAAAGTGAACAACATAACATATGGTATTAATTGAAATAGAGACCGGGCCGACCCCAAACTCCACTTTTTGACGACACACAACTATGTTGTAGTAAAAATTTTATCTTAACTTTATGATGGTATGCACACACAATTAATATAGAAGAGGTTAGGTTAGGAAAAATAAAGGTTAAGTTAGGAAATATAAAGGTTAGGTTAGGAAAACTAAAAGTTAGGTTTAACACTTACGTTAGTAGAAGAGATGGGTCGGCATATGGGGATGGAGGCTGGTTCCGAGGCAGAGGGCAGGCTACTGGCCCTCAGGTGAGTCACCATCACTGTCATCCACACTTGTCAGGGCCTCCCTGACAAATCCCTCAAAGTCATCTTCACTGTCTCTATCACTGGCTTGGGCTGGCTGTGGTGGGTTGCGGGCGAAGAACTCTGTTATGCTTTGCTGACGGCTGGTGTTTATGTTGTCGTGATAAACTATGAAGTAGGGCTCCATCGTCTGCAGCAGCTGGGTAGTGAAGATTTCATACCTGTTTGCGTCAGGGTCGTCGGAAAGGAGGAGCTTGACTTTCGCGATACACTTGATGGCACCCCTAACATTACTATGGGATAAGCGGTGTTCTTCTTGGGATGACGCACCACCTGCCTCTTCACTGACGTCATCATCATCTACCATCTCGTCGGTGGTCACATCAGGATCCCTTATCACCTCCAGGATGTCGTCGTTGGTAGTCTCGGAGAAGCCTGCAGCTGTAACACTCTGCGCAGCTTCTCTGGCAAGGTCCACTGCTACGGCAACAGTCTGAACCTCACCAGTCACAGATTGACTCTGCCTAACGGCCGGAATGCCTTGCAACACATATCTCCATGCGTGACGAACAGTTGCTACAGACAGCTGATCCCATGCCTCCACCAAGAAGTCCACAGCTTTCTTGATGTTGAATATTCTCCAGAATTGTTTGAAAAGTATTTTTTGCTCTGCCAACTGTTGATCCTCGTCGTCTTCGCTCTTGCTATCGGTGGTGGTGTCACTCAGGTTACGCAACTCTTCCCTGGTGTTGGTGTAGTTGTTCAGGAGCTTGAATTTTTTAGTAGAGAATGCAGCTTTTACATTACAGATTAACTCTTGGTCTATGGGCTGTAATATAGACGTAGTGTTGGGAGGAAGGAAGACCACTTTTACGTTGGGGTGACGATCTAACAGTAGGGGCGAGTGTCCTGGTGCGTTGTCCAGCAGCAACAAAATCTTGAATGGCACATTCTGTTGCTCACAGAATTTCTTTACATCGGGAACGAAACAGTCATCAAACCAGGATAGGGACAGTGTAGAGAACACCCACGCCTTACGTGCGGTCAGCCAGTGGACATTTAGCTTGGTCATGTCCATGCTCTTGTAGGCGTGCGGCTTGCGTGCTGTGTGGATCACTGATAACTTGAGCTTACAGGTACCGGAGGCATTGGTGGTAAACAGGACGGTGATGCGCTCCTTCTGCAACTTCCGGCCCCGAATCTTGCTGGCATTCTTCACAACGAAGGTCTTGGAAGGTAGCTTTTTCCAAAAAAGACCAGATTCGTCCATGTTAAACACCTGGTCGTCGGTGTACTGTCCTTCCTCCATAATCTCACGTAAAAACTGAGGAAATTCCCTAGCCGCAACACGGTCAGCACTAGCTTCTTCACCACCAATGTTGATATTGGTGATCTTGTTCCTCATCTTAAACCTCTGTAACCACCCAGAGGAAGCATTAAAGGGTTTGGGCTCTGTAATTCCCATCTTTCGTGACACTGCAGCATACAGTTCACGTGCGTACTCCTTAATAGATCGCGTGTCCACCGCCATGTTCCGTTGCTCCTGACGCACCAAGTAGCTCACAAGTAATTTTTCCGTCTTGAGAAGCACCTGGTTGTGGAAATACTTGATCATAGAAGCACCTGTAGACTTTGTGATCTTCATGTGCTCCTTTATCTTGGCTGCATCCTTCTTTATAGTCCGGATCGTAGATTCGTTCACACCATGCTGGCTCACCAAATCAACCTGTCTTGTTCCTTTCTCCAACTCTTGGATGATCTTGTACTTCACCTCGTAGCTTAAGGAACGGCGTGTCTTCTTTGGCTTAGGGCGTCTGGGTCCAGGCAAGGAAAGGTTTCTCTCTGGGGGCGGTGGTCCGGCGGAAGCCATTTTACAGAACAATGGATGCACGATTGCACGGTGTGGCCTGGAGGGATGAAACTGCCGCGGCTAGGTCAAGCGTCGTCTTTCCTCCCTCCCTCCCTCCCCCGGCTGGACATGTCATATTACTTTAAACCAATTACAGCTAGCAGCGGAGGGAGGTAGGGATGCATGGCCAATCACAGTCCGATACGTCATATGATGTCACTGATAACGCAACAGAGACATGCACTGCGCAACCTTACCGCGCGGCTTGCCCAGGCGGAGGCGGGAGCAGGCGGGAGGGGCGAATCTAAAAATAGCGTCGAGCCGGACACTCTCCGCGTAAAGGGGTACACGCACCGCGGAATGTGAGCATCCCGGGTTTCAGCAGGGTACCGCGTAAACGTGGAAATGCGGAATGTGGGACCGCGTAAAGTGAGGGTTGACTGTATATTTCAACCCAAAATACGAGTTGAAAAACAATCATAGCACATCACAGCCATTGTTTTCTTAAAATAATATATACAGTACCAGGAAATATGAGGATTAAATAAAAATAATATCAATAAATATGTTACAACATAAAATACTATTGCCAAATGTAGGGTTTGTATGTATGCATGTATGTAGGCGTGACTGAAGCAGATGCGATATGACAGTCTGGGCTAAGTCCCGGGAGCATGTGAGGTGGGAACGGTGTTATTAAAGGCAAGATAACTCTTCACACTATTATTGGACCTCCTACATGGCGCAGTGAACTTGTTACAGACCTACGAATGCCAGTGACATCACGACATGGATGTAGCACCACTTTCTCACCTGCCGGCGTTCAACAAGGTTGTTAGCTTCCTGGCTGATGCGGAGGCTGCCCTTGGCCTCACTCCACTCCTGTCGGAGCCGCGGCCCGCACCATGGATGTCCTCGCCATACCTTCTGGCGAGTGAGGTGCAGCAAGGGCCTGTGTCGCCCGACCCACAGGCAGCTCCAGCAAAGCAGGTACCAGCTCAAGCCGCATTGCACGACCATTCCACACTTGTGAGGTTGTTCAGAGTTATGTCTGAGGCTGTGGGGCATGGTACAAGTGCCAAGGCGCCTGCCTTGGCTGCCCCGGCCAATTGTGCAGTAGGTCTGACTAGTGCTTCGTTCAGATCGTGGAAAAAATCTTTCACCATGTGGATAAAGTTGAACAGGTGGTCAGATAGTGACGCAGTGCACTGCTTGCATCTGTTGTGCTCGGAGGAACTGCAGCGAATTGTGGACGCCAAGCTCAGTGAGGCCAGATGGGTGAGCCTCAGTTTGGAGGAGGCGCTGGAGGCGGTAAGCAGGCTGGTCATGAGGAAGACAAACCAGGGTGTCCTGTGGCAGCAGTTCTTCAAGTCCAGACAAACACCCAGTGAGTCCATTGCACAGTATTTCCATAGTGTGCAGAGACAGGAGATTGACTGCAACTTCGAGTGCCCGCAATGTGAGTGTGATATCTCGGAATACATGTTGGTGAGAAAGGTCATGGCGGGCCTAGTTGACAGTGACCTCAGAAGGGACCTCTACCAAAACTGGGAGAGGTATTTAAACTTGGATGTGTTATACAACAAGTGCCTTACGTACGAGAGCGCGAAGCAAGATGCTGATAAGCATGAGTCCTGTTTGGTGGCGGCGTGTGGCAACTCTATCAGCTGTGAAACGGACAAGGGTGATGAGTCTTCCCTGCCGGATGTATGTGATGGTGTGAGCCAAAGGCCGCACAAATCTCACAAAACATCCCCATGCAAGCCCGTCTACAGCTGCTGGCGTTGCGGATGGGGACATGGCGAGGGAGAGAGCTTTTCCCGTGAAGAATTTGGGATGTGGCAAGGTGGGCCACCTGATGTGCTGTTGTAAAGGCAAGCGCAAAGAGCCCAGCAAGGGAGGCTACACCACCGTGTCGGGCGCCGTGACAGTGGCTTCGGCGGGTGTGGCACCCCTGCCGTCCCTGTGAATCGCGGTATTGATGCTGTCCGGTGGGACGTCACGCAACATCGAGGCGGTGGCAGATACGGATGCACAAGTGACGGTGGCTGGTCCGTTGATCCTGAGGGCGCGAGGGTTAC